GCATTCCATACTACTCAGGAAATCGATTTAAGATCAACAAATGCCAGTGTAGAGGAAAGGACTTTTTTCTCTCTATCTCTTTAAACCAAATTGGTATTTGATTAATCTATTTTTTCCTTGCATGAATGAATGTTGTATATGATATTTATTTATTTATTTATTTGTTTATCTATTTTCTGCATTAGTTGATTAATGCTGAAGGTCATTTATCCTGTCTTGTATATATGAGGCAAGACATTTCCCGCAAGCAGTGACAAAATTTAGTGTCTTAGTAGATTAGTGTATCATATGAATATAAAAATGAAAGTCTAAATTTTTAATAAGTACATAGATTGACATACATGACCGCATAATGGTGGAAGTATCGGCCCTTAAGCATTTACATTACATGATACGTTCAATTTGTATGTAAGCCGTTACAGTTATTGAAAGGAAAAGTAAAAGGCAGTCTTTCTTGATAAGAATTCATGCCTAGGCACTGTGGTTTTTTGCATTTACCAAAAGGATATTGCTTACACCAGTTCAAAGATAACTAAATACTTTGCATTTGATAATTTGTATTTATTCAGAGAAAAGATAAACTATGCTCTGTTTTCAGTTTAAAGATTATAGTACTTTTTAATCTTTTATTTACAGCTGATTAGAAATTCCTACTGATTTTACCATTGTTATGTATGCAAGAGTTTATTGTTATCTTTTCTGTACTTTTTCTTTTATATCTGAGAATATTTGTTCTGTTTTTCGCATATTTGTTGTATCTTTATGATATTTGGTTCCTTGTTTAATTTTATAAGAATTTTTATGAGTTAAGGTTAAGACTGAGGATTGGTTATTTCCTCTGATTTACCCGTAAGGCAGGAGTCAAAATTGCACTTTTTTTTCCTTTCCTTTATGATCTTTCTTCTGCTAAACATGTAGCCATATTCTAGAATCATGCAGTCTACAGAAAAAAATTCTTTTCCAATGCTAAAAGTATTAGATTATCTGAGCTTCATGTGTCCTCAGAAAACTTTTATTTCCTCATCTGTTTCCCAGATAAGTTTGTTTGTATTTTCACAGAGACCTGTAGAGTCACTGAATTAGATAGGAATTGAGGCTGTATCCATTTCTTGCTCTTATGACAGTACACTCTCTTTAAACATGTACAGTTGGGACAGTGCCATAAGCTCAAGCCGTTTTTATGTACTATTTATTCATTATAATTGATTTGTCTT